ATCAACGCTTCAGTACAGGCAGACAAACTACCCACACACACACACACACACACACACACACACACACACACACACACACACACACACACACACACACACACACACACACACACACACGCACGCACGCACGCACACACACACACACGCTCCCAGCATACTCAGCACCCGGCATCTACCTTGGACTTTTTCAGCTGTTCGGAGCCACCAAGATCAGCGAGACAAAGCGTACTCTGGAGGCGCGTGTGCGTGCGCGGGTTGCGCTGGTCAAGCGAGAGGAGGAACACAGTGTGTGCACGCGAGCTTCGCTCGTTCATCGCCGTTGCCGCTCGCCGCTTTGATCGCTCCGCACGCAGAAGCAGCTCGTCAAGTTCATACGGGTCGACAATCTCTGTCGGGCGTGATTGCAGTGATGATGGTGATGGTGATGGTGATGGTGGAGGTGGAGGTGGTGGTAATGGCCATCATGGTGAGCACAATGTGAGCAACGCATGTCAACGTGTGCACTTGTGATGATGCTGCGCACCGCGGTCACATGCACAAATGCAAATGATAACACGGAAACGCCATTGACTTATTGTGCCGATGACATTGCACGTGCGCACAAACACACATTCACATCTCACCCATTCACACATATGCACACACATTCAAACGATTCACACACACACACGTAAACACGCAAACTCACACAAACATGCACAAACACACACGCACTTTACACACAACACACACACACACACGTAAACACGCAAACTCACACAAACATGCACAAACACACACGCAAACACACACGTACGTCCACACACCTTCTGCGGCCTCGTTGTTGAGCACAGCGCGGGCAGCAACACCGTGCCACGCGCCGACAACAGAGCGCTCATGCAACAGATCTGTAATGTCCTGGCCAAAAATCTCCACGCACGTGAGCTTGAGGGAGACCTCAAGGCCGTGCTCGCGCCGCTTCATGACCGTGTTGGCCACCTCGGTGATGGCACGTGGAGCAATGCCAGCCTGCGACGACAAACGCGACAGCTTTGTGCTGGTCACGTCGTCCGGCCCAAACATGGAGTATGTCTTTCCAGAGCCTGTCTGGCCGTAACAGAGCACACACGCGTTGACGCCATTGAGAAACTGGCCGACTTGCAAGCGCGCGGCCCGGTCGTACAGGTCATCTTGGTTGAACGTGTCCGGGAGCACGCTGTCAAACTCAAAGTGCCGCAGGCCGCCAGCAGCGCAAAGCACCAGGTCGTTCGTGTCGGGTCGGATGGCGAGCACCCCCGTGCGCACACTTGTTGGCAGCGCGTGGGCCTTGGGCTCACTCGTATCAGTGGCAGCTGCATCCGTGGTGGTGGCAGTGTCCGCTGCACTTGTTGATGATGACGAGGACGATGACGCCGCCGGTGTTGTAGCCGTGGTCGTAGTCGTTGTGGTGGTTGTCGACGTGCAAGCGGCCGAATCGCTGGTGTTGTGTGCACCATCAGTGCCATCATCCTTGCCGTTGTGCCCTTCACGTTGCTCCACCGCAGGGGCTTGCTCTTGTTGTGCTGTTGGTGCTTGCGACTTGGATTTCGCTCGCTCCTTCCTGCTGCTGTCGCCGTTGATGTCGGAGAGCGGAAGCCGGCGGGCCGGGGCGCGCGCCTGCGCATCTGTCCACGGGTCCCATGCGCTAACGTCACCCTTGCCGGCCCACAGCAGCTTGCGCGCCTCCGAGGTGGAGCAGCCGTAGTGCGCCTGGATCATGCGGATGCGCTGGTGCAGCGGCACGACAGCATGTGTTGCGCGCTCCCCATGCACATCCTCTTCGGCCGCGGCGTCAGTGCCGTCGTCGTCATCAGTGTCGCCATCCCCATTCGTTGCCGCGCGTGCCACAGCCGCGTCCACGTGCTTGGGCAGTGGGCGGAACCGCGCGCACACGTTGATGGTGAAGTGGCTGGCGGCTGGGTCCGGTGTGTTCTCCTCCCTGCCGTTGTCGATCCCCGTGCCGCCAAGCACGTCTGTATCAACTGCGTTGCGTGGAGCTGCCGCCTCCTCGTCTTGTTGCCGCTGGCGCTCTTCGTCGGCCGGCGTCGTAGTGCGGGATGCTGTGCCGTGCCACCGCTTGCGCAGTGGAAGGTGTCGGAAGAAGGCGTCGCGCCAGTCCTCGTCCTTCCTGCGCTGCACGTGAACAAAGTCTTGTGTCTCCAGAAGGTGGCAGAAGATTTGCCACGTTTCCTGCTCAAACGTGAGTGCGTGGTAAGACCTGTTCAGCGAAAGCAGCTTGAAGCGTTGTTCCCACGAGCACCGCTCGAGAACCTGGCGCATGGCGCCCACTTCGTGCAGCTGCGACAAGTCCTGTCCCATCTTTGTTGCGTTTGTGTGGATGTGTCTGTGTCTGCGCTGAGTGTGTTTGTGTTTGTGTGTCTGCGAGTAAGTTTGTGTGTGTGTGCGTGTGTATGTATGTGTGCGCGAGCTGAGATGAGTGTGTGACGGTGCAAACGAAGGAAGAGGAGAGAGAGAGAGAGAGAGAGAGAGAGAGAGAGAGAGAGAGAGAGAGAGAGTGTGTGTGTGTGTGTGTGTGTGTGTGTGTGTGTGTGTGTGTGTGTGTGTGCCAGGATCCCGAAGATCAGACGGAGGGAAAGGGAGAAATGAACGTGTGCATGCACTGCGATCTTTGAATTAACAAAAAAATCCCCCTTCTCACCAGCCACTGAGCATACCTCGTGCCTTTCCGTGCGCTGCTGTGGCGTCGCTTGCTTCTTGTGTTCACTTTGTCTTGACACCCGTCTATATTTGGTTCGACGATGGATGGATGTTGAGCCGAGGAGAGACAACAAACGACGATGGCTTTGGTGTGTGGTTGTGATGGAACAGGCATCAGAACGCGCAAGCGGGCGAAAAATTCGAATTTCCCGGCTGGCAGCGCGCTAAAAATAACACACATTTCATGGTGTTGCGGACAGTCAACATGGCCGGAACTCGCGCAGCAACGAACGTCTTTGCGCACTGCCGCAACGTGGTTCGGTAAGTGAGAGAGAGAGAGAGAGAGAGAGAGAGAGAGAGAGAGAGAGAGAGAGAGAGAGAGAGAGAGAGAGAGAGAGAGTGTGTGTGTGTGTGTGTGTGTGTGTGTGTGTGTGTATGTGTGTGTGTGTGTGTGTGTGCGAAACGAGGGTGGGTAACTCACGTGCTCTGCACATGCTGCTTCCCATGCAACACACACACATACACAGGCAAAGCAGTCGGGAGCACTATTTGACGACAATGCTGCTTCCCCGCACTGCCGAGAATGCTGTGTTTGCCGTGCGTGCCTTTAACGCACAAATCTCCCGCGTCAGGTGCGCTTGACCATGTCTTGTATACGTGTGCGCGCGTGTGTGCGTGCAAGAAGCTTGTATTTCGTGAGCCTGCTGTGTGCAGCACACCAATTTGCTGGGAAGTTATGCGGACCCCTGACGGACGGTGTATGGCTGTGCATGCACGTGTCAGGGATGAGGCACGGGAGCCAGGCGCAGTGAAGATGCGGTTCTTATTCTGGAACGACGTTGTGAATGGCCTCAAGGGTCAAACGACCGTGAGTCACGCACTGCAAATGGGCTGCATGGCTGCGATGATATGGCCCGTGCCTGGCTGTCTGTGGGGAGGGGGAAGGGCGGAGAAGGGGTTGCTTGACATACTGGCAGCGATGTGCACACACACACACTCACTCACACTCACTTACACTCACTTACACTCACACTCACTTACACTCACACTCACATACACACACATGCACACACACTCATACATGCACACACACTCACTCACCCTCACACTCACATTCACGCACACACAAGAACCCGACTTCGGCGCTGGTGGCCCATCCCGTGGCGAAAGCACTGGATATCACCGCAACACAGCACAACCTGACCGTCTCCTTCCTCAAGCAGCTTGTTCGCGCCAGGGAGGCACACTCAGACGACAGCCCCTTTCAAACCATGAAGGTACATGCGTGTGCGTGAGTACGGCCAAGGCGTTTGCGCGTACATGTCCGGGAACCAAAGGCCACTGCGTGTTCACCTCTGCATCCTTCTTTCTACCTTGCTCATGATGCTCGTTTGTGCTTTCGCATGTTTGTTGCATCACAGGACGCTGAGAACTACGCTGAACACACGTGCTCCAGCCTCTACTATTTAACCTTGGAGTGCATGGGCATCCGTGACCAGCACGCAGACCACGTTGCTTCCCATATCGTAAGCAGCACCCTTGCCTCTTTTTCACGAACGCAAACTTGCAACACATGCACAAGCGCGAATGCATCACACTCGAACGTTCACGTGCTGTGGTTTTGTTTGTTTGGATTCAGGGGCGAGCAGAAGGATTGGTGACGCTGTTGCGAGGTCTCCCTCACATGGCATCACAGGGCAAGGTGTGTGAGAAAAAGGCGCTGCAAACTCTCTCATTCGCTGTTCATGCAGTGCATGCACCAAGATTGCTTGCAGTGCGTGCACAACTGTCCGCGCAGTCTTACACCACGCACACACACACACACACACACACACACACACACACACACACACACACACACACACACACACACACACACACACACACACACACACACACACACACACACACACACACACGCAGTTGCGGTTGCCACTGGACGTGTGTGCCAAGCACGGGGTTGTGCAGCAAGACGTGCTGCGAGGCAACATCACGCCCGCAGTACAGGATGCTGTCCACGCCATTGCCAGCGAGGCTGTGCTCCACCTCAACACGGCTCGCTCCATGATGGACCAGATCCCACAGCACGCCCGCACCTGCTTCCTACCCTCGGTCTGCCTCAACCTCTATCTTAACCAACTCCTTGCTGTCGACTTTGACCCCATGCATCCAACCCTCCTCAAACCACAGGGGCTCCTCCCACTGCGCTTGCTCTGGGCTAGGTTCCGCAACTCATACCCGTAGGCTCTCATCCCTCTGTGTGTGTGTGTGTGTGTGTGTGTGTGTGTGTGTGTGTGTGTGTGTGTGTGTGTGTGTGTGTGTGTGTGCTGCAATTTTCTCCCCTTTGGATGCAATTCTTGGGCTTGGTTTCTCTGAGACTTGCTTGTGTGTTCAGGGGAGGAACTACAGCAGCACGCAAGCAAGCACACAACGTGAAGAGGGAAACACAGCGACAAAACCGCACACAACTACACGCACATGCACAGCCAGTGGCTCATGGGTGGGCAGTGTTGGCACACATGTCAACTGCAAAGGAGAAAGGGGAGTGCGAGGGAGAAGAAGCACATGCATGGCAAAAGGGAGGGAGAGAGGAAGGGGGATGGTTGATTGGTCGAAACGACAGAACAGGACGCAGGAGTGGGCGTGTATGTGTGTGTGTGTGTGTCAGACCATTCCCACAGTGGAACGCAGGCAGAAACGCAAAGGGAAGACATCACCAACACAAGCTAAGGCTCAAACACAAGAGCCGAGCAGGTGTGCAAGGCAAATCACTTGCGAGCCCAGGCGCCCATGAGGGTGGGGCCCTGTGCGGTTGGGTGCTGCTGTGGCGGCTGCTGGGCCTGCTGGGCTTCAAGTGTCGGGTACGACCCCTGCCAGGGCGCATCGCGCACCTGAGATTGATTGGTACAGGAGAGGGGAGGCGCGGAGAGACACGACGAAGAAGAAACAAACAAAAGTTGAAACCAGGTGGTGTGAGAGGCAGACATGATCATGCTGTGGGTGACACATGAAATATGTGCAGTTGTTTTGTTTGCCGGGTGGGGGAGACAAAAAGCACAACGAATACGCAAACAAACAAACGAACGAACAGAACAGACAAGGAAATTTTGACAACCAAACCGATATCCCGCAACACGCCACACAAACGAGGGAAAGACGGCAAGACAGCGTGGTGTGTTCTCACCTGGAAGGCCTGATCCTTGGGCTTGTTCTGCTTCTTGGGGCGGGAAGGAGCGGCGTGGCGGCCAACATCCTGGTAGTCCTCAATCAGATCCTCCTGTTGTCAACAACCGTCGCGCACGACACATAACGTACATTCGGGTGAGGGTGAGAATGCGAACTTTGACGTGTGTGCGGGCATAACGACGGTGCACACACACACACACACACACACACACACACACACACACACACACACACACACACACACACACACACACACACACACAAACACACACAAACACACACAACAAACACACGCACACACAACAAACACACGCACCCCACGTCACACAACAAGCATGCTGCTTGCTTACGTTCTCCTCCTGGACGAGGAAGAGCTGGTCGATGCACTCGTCCACCTTATCCTCGGGACCAGTCACCGTCAGAACATCAGACGACTTATCGGCAGGGAAGTTGATGCGCACGCCATACGTTTCCTGCAGGTTGCGCACACCGGAGCCGCGGGGGCCAATAATCTTGCCATGCACAGCATGGTGGATGTCAATCTCCTTCACCACGTGCGACTTGAGCGTCTCAACGGTGGCGGTGATGTCATCGGCGCACGCCTTGCAGTCCTCCTCAAAGCCCGTGAGGCGAATCTCGTTGGGCTCAAGGCCCGTGTTGCCGCCCTTGCGGGGGAAGTCGATGCGCACATCAAACTTCTTGCGCAGGGCGTTGACGTTGGCGCCACGCTTGCCAATCAGATCCGTGTGGAACTCGGGGTGCACCTCCATCGTCATCGAGAAGGTCTTGCGAAGCGCATCCTGATCATCCATTCAAGAGAAACAAAACAAAAGCCAGTGCGTGTGCGGGTGTGTGTGATGGTGTGTAAGTATGCATGCACACGTGTGTGTGTGTGTGTGAGATAGCATGGATGCAAGCCCTCATGTGTGTGTGTGTGTGTGCGGGCACATGCACAAACGAAGAACAACGAAGACAATACAATGAAGACACAGTGAACGCGTGTGTGAGCACAACAAAGTACCGACCTTGAAGATCTGCATGTTAGCCTCGAGAGCAGCCTTGGCGGCGGCGACCTGTGGGGCAAGGCCGCGGATGACAATCTTGTCGCTCTCCTCCTCGGCGCGGGGAATGTCGATGCGGGCCTTGTGCTCGGCCTGGATGGCGCGGATGCCATTCTCCTTGTCGATGATCATGAAGCGGTGCAGGTTGCGGGGGACCTCAATCTCCTCCTCAATGGGCACCAGCTCCTGCAGCGCAGCGAGCGCGGCGTCGCAGTTCTCGGGCAGGCCCGTCACCTTGAGGTTCACCTCGCCCTCAGCCTGGTCGCGGTCCTCGCGGCTCGGCACGTCAATGTCCACGCTAAAGTCGGCGCACACCTTCTGCACGTTGCTGCCGCCAGAGCCCATGATGCTGGGGATGCTGCTCGGCTTCACAGGCATCTCTTTGGTCACGCTGCGCTCCTGTGGGTGTTGCCGTCAAAATCAGTGACGAGATGGATGAAAAGCAGGGTGAGTGACGGGGATAGAGAAGTTGTGTGTGCGAGTGTGTGCGAAGGAGGAAAGGGGAGGCAGTGCGAGGCAGCGTGCGTGTACGCGTGTGAGAAAAAAAGAATAAGGGTGGAGAGCCGGGAACAGATACAAACCAACCGAAAGCAGCACAATACTGCTTGCAAAATGGCAGATATGAACTACTACAAACAGTGACACCCAGATGGCAACCAGCATAATCAACGTACCAGCTCGTCGACGCGGGCCTTGAGCTTCTCAATGGCGGTGGCAACGCCCTCGCGGGGGCCGCGCACGACAACCTTGTCGTCAACAACCTCGGCATCCTCGGCGTTGCGCGGGAAGCGGATGGACACGTTGTTCGACTCGCCAAGATGGCGGGAAAACTGCACAGATGGAAACGTCAAAAAACAAAACAAAAGGGGGCATCGCAGACGCAGGGAGCAACGTCAACCGGAATTGTCACAAGGAGCAGCAGAAGCAGCAGCACGCAGCAACACTCCTTCGTACGCACACATTCACACATTCACATTCACATTCACACACACACCTCCTGACACACGCATACGACCTCACACCACAGCACAGCACATCAAGAGTTGATTTCGAACCTGGCGGGAACGAAGGGCGGAGTAGAACTTGGGGTCGATGATGACAACCTCCGTGACGACCTTCTCGAGCTCCTGCACGCGGTCGTGCACGAGCTGCTTGGCCTTCTCGCAGGCGTCCTTGGAGCCGATGGCAAGCACGAGGTCCTTGTCCTTCTTGGCGCGGGCTGGCGGGAACACGAGGCGGATGACACCAGACTCCTCCACCAGGCGCTTCAGGGTGGCGCTGCGCTGGCCGATGAGGTGGCGGTGGTACTTGTGCGGGGCGGTGAACTCGAGCGTGGTGCTGTTGAGGGCCTCGTCGCAGGCCAGGCGCTGAATCGCCTTCTTGGCCTCGGCAACAGACTCCGAGGGGCCGCGGATGGTGACGGTGTTGCTCTTCTCCTTGGCCATGGGCACGGTAATCTGCACGCTCAGCTCAGACTCCAGGCTCTGCTGGATGCGGTTCTGGGTGCCGCGGATTGTGGGGTGGTACTTGGAGTCAACCTCCATCGTCTCCGTCACAATCTTGCCCACCTTCTGCTGGATGTCGAGGATGGCCTGCTTGGCCTTCTCCACGTCCTGCTTGTAGCCGACAATGGTGATGTAGTCGTTCTCCTCCTCGGCAGCCGGCACGTTGATGCGCGTGTTGGTCTCGTTGCGGATGCGGTTGATCGTCTCGCCGCCCTTGCCGATAATGTCCGGGTGGAACTTGCGGAAGACGTGCACCGTGTCCGAGTAGTTGCTGGCCTCAATGTCACGCACGCGCTCCTTGATGGCGGCAATCACGGCGTCCACCTGCTTCTTGTCGCCGCGGATGAGAATCTCCTCAGAGTCCGAGCCGCGGTCGGGGAAGTTGAGCGACACAGAGTCGTAGCCCTGCAGCAGCTTGCGCAGGCCGTCGCCGCCGGCGCCGATAATCTGCGAGTGCAGGTTGCTGGGCACGCTGACCTTGTCCGTCTTCTGGTTGCGCAGCTTGGTGGCCATGTCGCTGACGAGGGAGACAGCCTTGGCCACGGCCTCGGGCGTGCCCTCCACGCGCACGCGGTCGGAGCCCGAGTTGTTGGCGGGAATGTCGATGGTGGCGCCGCTCTTGGCGCGAATCTCGTTGATGGTCGAGCCGCTCTGGCCAATGATGTACGGGTGGTACTTGGGCTCCACGCGGACGTCGGAAAAGGTCAGGGTACGCTGCAGCTCATCGGCGAGCGCGCGCAGGCTGTCCCGGACCACATCGACGTCCTCGGGGGGACCCTCAATCTCAATCTCGTCGCCCTCCTTTGGAAACTGGATGTGCACCTTGGGCCGCTCCTCGCGCAGCTTGCGCGCGTTCTCGCCCTTCTTGCCCAGCACGTGCTTGTGCAGCCACTGCGGCACGGAGAGCTTCTTCACCACAATCTTGTTGGCAAACTCGTACACGAGGGTGAGGGCCTGCACCAGGTTGGCGCGCTCGCCGCGCAGGATGATGGTGTTGTCGTCCTTGTCCGGGTGGGGCACCTCCACCACGACGCCCGTCTTCTCGTTGATCTCGCGCAGGTTGGCGCCCTTGGGCCCAATGAGGAAGCGGTGCTGCGTGCGCGGGATCTCGGCCGTGAGCTCGCCGCACGACTCGCGCTTGTCGTTGTAGATCTGCATGAGCTCGTCGCAGGCGCGGGCCACGGCGGCGCGCTCGCCGGTCACCGTCACCTCGTCCTTCTCCACGGCCGGCGGGGGCACGTGGATCTTGACGCCCGTCTGCTCCATGATGCGCTTGATGGTGGCGTTGCCGGGGCCGGCGACCAGCGGGTGGTAGGCCTTGGAGATTTGCAGCTTGCGGTGGTCCGTCTTGGCGCGCTCAAAGGAGATGTGCTGGATGTCCTGGGCAGCCTTGCGGCAGTTCACGGCGGTGCCAACAATCTTGATCGTCTGCGAGGCCTCATTGTTCTTGGGCATGAAGACGCGCACGGCGTACTTGGCAGAGAGCGCCTTGAGGTTGGATCCTTCCGGGCCGATGATGTAGCGGTGGTGCTCCTTGGGAATGTCAATCTCGATGCTGGCCTGGGTCTGCAGGCGCGAGAGCACCTGCTTCTTGGCCTCAACCACGGCGTCGGGCTTGCCCTCGATGCGAACAACGAGCGAGCCGGCGCGGTTGACGTGCTGCTTGATCTGCACGCGGTGCTTGACGGCAATCTCAGAGACGAAGCGCTCGACGCGGTTGCGGCTGCCGCCACGGCTCTTCTCCGTGGCAGAGAAGCGCTGCTCCTCCTTCGGGATCTCAACAACCTGAGTGAGGAGGATAATGGTTTTTGGGTGGGGGGGGGATTGGGAGAGAGGAAGAAAGGGAGAAAAGAGAGGAAGGAGAGGAGGTGTGGCAGTTGTAATTGATGTGAAGCAAAACAGTGAGGCAAGAGGCAAAGGTGAGGGTGTGTGGTGACATGGTGTGTGATGACATGATGTGATGCCTGTGGCACGGCAGAAGATGACACTCGACTACGTCTCACAGTGGGATAGAAAGCACGCGCGATAGATGCTGAGTGGCAGCTCAGCAACTTAACGCGCGCACCCCCACACACATGCAGACACATGCAGACACGTGCACACACACCCCCCAAACGCACACACTTGCGCATACCGCGGTGGTGGTTGTCTTGCGAGGCTGGACGGCGCGAATGCGAGGACGCTGGCCCTGGGCACGACGAGCAGGGGCGGCGCTGCTGCCACCGAGGCTGGGGAAGGCCTCGGCGTAGGTCATGGGGGCGGGCTCGGGAACTTCCTGTGGCAGGGGATCCTGCACAGGCTCGCTTGGCACGGGGATATCATTCACCTGGTCGCTCATGATGGCAGAACAAGTTGTCCGGGCAGCACAAAACACTCAGTCCAAAGGCGAAACGGGAAGCGGGCTGTGTGTGTGTGTATGTGTGTGTGTGTGTGTGTGTGTGGAGAAGGGGGATGTTGGGTGAGTGAAGAGAAAGGGTGGAAAGCGGTGAGTGAAGGTTGGAAGGGGTTAGTGCAGTGCCGTGAGTATGTGTGTGTGTGATGTGAGTCGCTGCGCCGTGAAGGTGCACTATTACACCAAACACACCCACACACCCACACACGCACAGTGTTCACATTCGTTGCATGCACGCACGGGACAAACGAATGAACCAACCCAACAGCGACCACAGCAAGGAACGTACATGCGAAGACCAAAAACCAAGGGGAGTTGTAGAGACGTTGCCTGCCACTGCGTGAAATCGATGCGATGGATCACAACAAACGTGAGATGGTGGTGTGTAGATTGGAACACGCACAAAACAGCGTGCATTGTTCAACAGAGCATGGCGCCGTGTGATGCACATGGGGTTGCAAGCAAGAAGCAGACAACGACGCCAGTGGGTCGTGCACACGGTTGATTCACGGTGGATTCCCCTCATCACATGCATCCACACACACACACACACACATGCACACGCATGCACACACATGCACACGCATGCACACACATGCACACGCATGCACACACATGCACACACATGCACACACATGCACACACATGCACACACATACACACACCATCACCACCACCGCGCATACCTGTTGCGTTCCTTCTTGGCACACGACACAAGAAAGGGGGAAAAAAGGGAAAAGGGGGAATGGGCTGGCTGGAGGAGGAGACGCCACACGGCACACAACACAAGCTGAAGCAACACTGCAACGTGCCACGCAAAAAAATCGTGAGTGACTGAAAGGGAGGATTTGTTTATACCTTCATGCAATTTTCATTTTGCCAACAATTTGCCACCGCCAACGTTTGGCAAAAAGCCATTCAACACACACGACTGTGCGAGGAGGACAACCAAAGCAAAAAGCAAAGCGAAAGTGAAGCCATGCTGAGCGTGAAGGCGGTGGTGCTGATGCTGCTGCTGGCAATGCAGTACGCTGCGCAGCCGTACTTGAACCGGCACTGTTCCGCAACACGGGCCATCACCACATCCATCATCCTGGCAACCGAGGTGCGTGTGTGTGTGTGTGTGTGTATGTGTGTGTGTGATGAAAAAATGATGATGATGACGCGCAGGGAGCGTGCATCCTCATTGACTGGGATCTCACCCTCTCACCCTTCTCTCCCATGCTGATCCCCACACGCAATGGCAGGCAACAAAGTTCGTGGTGTGTGCAGCGGTGATCTCAGCACAGCATCCACTTGGATGGCGCTTTTTCAAGACTGTTCGCATCAAAGGTCAGGCGTAGGTTGTGTTGTCTGAAAATTGTGGTACTTGCCTGTGACTTGCCCAGGGCTGTAGCACACTTTGCACTGTCACATGTACACTCACGTGCACGCATACACATGTGTACACTCGTATACACACACATAAATACACTCATACACACATTCATGCGCATTCATTCACACACTCATACACACACACACACACACACACACACACACACACACACACACACACACGCACACACACACACACACACACACACACACACACACACACACACACACACACAAACAAACAAACAAACAGACAGCCTGCGGCTGGCTGGGGTGCCTGCAATCATCTATGCGTTTCAGAACATTCTTATCCTCACGGGCACCAAGCACCTGGACGGCCTCAGCCTCAACCTCATCAACCAGACAAAGACCATCTTCAGCGCCATCTTCGTCTACCTTCTCCTTGGGCGTCCTCAAAGTCCAATGCAGTGCGTGGCGCTGGCCATCATGTTCGGTGCGTACCTGTCGCTGCTTCGCGCGTCTTGCTTGTGTTTTGTTATCGTCGTGTTTGTCGTGGCATCGAAAAAGGGAGTGGGGTGGTTCAGGTTACATTCTTCTGCGTTCCTGCTGAACCCGCACACATACACTCACATACATGCACACATACATTCACATGCACACATACACACACATACACACACACACTCCCATGGTGTGTGAGCAGGGGCATCTGTGCTGCTAACGGGCCAGAAGGAGGACGCGGGCGCTGCGGTGATGGTTGAGGATCGCGACGTGTGGCTCTTCTATGGAGTGCTGCCCGTCTTTGCTGCTGCAGTCACATCGGGGCTTGCAGGCGCACTCTCCCAACTCGGCCTGCAGGTACCACACGCATTAGTGTGTGTGTGTGTGTGTGTGTGTGTGTGTGTGTGGACAGTTGTGCTGTACGATTGGTTGCTCACATGCGCTGCATTTGCTTGTGACCATGACGATAACAATACGTGCACATCGCGCTCACACCCACACCGCGCTCACACTCGCACACGTACGTGCCCACCATACACCCACCACGCAGGGGAAAAAGCGAGATTCGCACCTGTTCTCGATGGAGCTCGCGGTGTTCAGTATGGCCACGCTGCTCCTCAATCTCGTGTTTGTGTCCAACGACCTGGAGAAGATTCAACGGCTTGGGTTCTTCCACGGCTGGACCCCGGCCACCGCCATCCCCATCTTCAGCAGCGGTGCGCATGTGTGTGTGTGTGTGTGTGTGTGTGTGTGTGTGTGTGTGTGTGTGTGTGTGTGTGTGTGTGTGTGTGTGTGTGTGTGTGGCTGTGTGGCTGTGTGGCTGTGTGGCTGTGTGGCTGTGTGGCTGTCTGTGCACTTTCGAATCACATTCGTCTCACGCCTCACACCCCGTGCACGCAATGAACGACACGATTGGACCACTGCGCAGCTGTGGGCGGGATCGTTGTTGGGCTTGTGGTAAAGCACGCTGGTGTTGTTGCCAAAGGGTTTGCCATTCTTCTCGGCATTGTGCTCACGGCTGTGCTGGAGGTGCTTGTGGACGGACATCACATCAACACGACCAAACTCATCGCTCTTCCCCTTGTCCTCATCAGCACATACCTTCACATGTCCTTCCCCGTCAAGCAGAAGGTACGGTTGCGTGCGTGCGTGCGTCTGCCTATGTGTGTGTGTGTGTGTGTGTGCAGTCTCTCTCTGTCTCTGTCTCTATCTCTATCTCTATCTCTCTCTCTCTCTCTCTCTCTCTCTCTCTCTCTCTCTCTCTCTCTGTCTCTCTCTCTTTCTCTCTGTCTCTCTCTTCGTGTTCCTTATTCGCACGCTCACCTCACATCACCTCACCCTCACCCCCCCCCACACACACGCTCGTGCGCATGTTAGGACAAGCAGGAAGACAAGAAGGACAAGTAGTAGATTGGAAGCCCCACGCTGCCTGCTTGCTTGTTGCTTGTTGCTGCGTTGACTGACTGGCAGGTTGGCGTTTTATTATTGTCACTCATTGCAGGCGATTGTCGAAAGAGGCCAGAAAATCACACACGCACGTACAACTGAGCACAACAGCACAGGCAGAACCACAGAAACGGGTGTGGGGGAGGGCGGGCGTGAAGTGATGTGGTCAACAGAAGTCAAAACACACGAAACAGCGCAGCGGCAGACACACACACACGCGTGCAGCAGACACGTGGGTTGTTGGGGTCAATGATAGGGAAACGCAATACGGCTGGCGCATACAGGCAAAGATTGGAAGCAGGCGCACACACAACAGGTGGCGTGATGATGGGCAAGCCAACCAAAAAGGATGGAGCCAGTGAGTGGTTTGTTGTTTGTTGTTTGCTGTTTGTTGTTGTTGTTGTCATGGGGGGGGGGGGGGAGGGCGGGAGAGTAGTGGCACGCGCGCTAAATGAGGCACGGGTGAGATCTGCGGCGAAGAGGCGGGACAAGTGGAGCCTTTATCCGGTCAAGTGGAGCCTTTATCCGGTTCACTCCTTCTTCTCCTCTTCCTCGTCGTCGTCAAAGTCGACGGCCTTTGGGCTGATGAGCTTGGCCATGTAGCGGCAGAACTCGCCAAACAGAACCATCCCGCCGTCGTTCTGTGTGGAGATGTCATGGTCGTTTGGTTTGCGGGGGGGGGGGATGAGAGTTAGGGTGAGGGAAGCGGAGAGGAAGACATCACATGACCAAGCACCAGCACCCCACACGAGCACACGCAAACTGCACGCACACAAGCACACACACACACACACACACACAGCACACAGCGTCTGGGTCGCACCTTGTCGAGGTCGTCAAAGGCCTTGGCAGCCGCCTCGTCTGTCAGCGGATACTTGAGCTTCTCAAACGCAGCCTTGAACTCGGCAAGATCAATCCTGGGATGTATGGTGGGATAGGCGGGGGAAGGGGGAACAGAATGAGACCAGTCAGCGTCTGTTCACCCAGACACACTTGAAACCAAACAACAAACTCACACGCAACCACACACACATACACAAACACACACACACATGCAAACACGTGCAAACACATGCAAACACACCTGCGGTCGTCTGAGGAGTCAATCTCATCAAAGAGGTCCCAGAGGCGGTTCATGTAGATCATGCCGCGGACAAGGCGGGGGAACTCCTTGCGCTGCACAAAGTCATCGCCACGGGCCGTCGCATACTTGTACGCCTGCATCAGCGCCGGATCAGCCACCTTCCAGTTCTTGTCCTGCACAAACTTCTTAATTTCGGCCAACGACACAATGCCGTTGTTGTTGTGGTCCAGGTGTCCCCACCACTCCTGCAATCACGACATCGAAACGTGTTGTGTTGATTAGCATGCAAGAAGGACAGAAAGAAAAGCGCTCAAAGCTAGAGGCAAGCTGGCATGACATGGATTGGACGTCATGCACCACAACAGCCTGGACAGCGTTCAGACATGCATCTCGACATCAGTCGCACATGCAAGCAAGGGGGTACCAACCTTGAGTGTCTCCTTGTTCTCGAGGTTGTCGACCATCGTCTTGAGGTCGTCATCATCCTCCACAAGCAGCTGGCGCACGAGTGCCGCGTCTGAGGTTGGAGCGAACATGACAGTGATGGTGATGGTGATGGGGTGGTGTGAGGTGCGGTATTGGAAGGTACGCTGGTCAGGTGTGAACCACCTATTGGCCACACTAGAGGTGTATCACAAACTACCAGCCCCAAACCGTGTAGCGCAGTCGCAAGTGCGGTTCAAGGAGGAACTGTTCACTCACCAACAGACTCGTAGGGTGCTGGCTTCTCATCCTCCTTCTTATCCTCCTTCTTCTCTTCCTTCTTATCCTCCTTCTTCTCCTCCTCAGCGGGGGCAGGGGCGGGGGCAGGGGCGCTGTTGCCGTCATCGTCGCCAAACTCAATCGTCTTTGGGCTGACCAACTTGGCCATGTAGCGGCAGAACTCGCCAAACAGAACCATCCCGCCGTCGTTCTGTGTGGAGATGTCATGGTCGTTTGGTTTGCGGGGGGGGGGGGAATGAGAGTTACGGTGAGGGAAGCGGAGAGGAAGACATCACAAGAGGAAGACATCACATGACCAAGCACCAGCAACCCACACAAGTACACGCAAACTACACGCACACAAGCACACGCAAACTATACACACACAAAAGCACACACACACACAACACAGCACACACAGCGTCTGGGTCGCACCTTGTCGAGGTCGTCAAAGGCCTTGGCAGCCGCCTCATCTGTCAGCGGATACTTGAGCTTCTCAAACGCAGCCTTGAACTCAGCAAGATCAATCCTGGGATGTGTGGTGGGAGAGGTGGGGGAAGGGGGAACAGAATGAGACCAGTCAGCGTCTGTTCACCCAGACACACTTGAAACCAAACAACAAACTCACACGCAACCACACACACATACGCAAACACACACACACACACACACACACATGCAAACACGTGCAAACACGTGCAAACACACGCAAACACATGCAAACACACCTGCGGTCGTCGGAGGAGTCAATCTCATCAAAGAGGTCCCAGAGGCGGTTCATGTAGATCATGCCGCGGACAAGGCGGGGGAACTCCTTGCGCTGCACAAAGTCATCGCCACGGGCCGTCGCATACTTGTACGCCTGCATCAGCGCCGGGTCGGAGACGTCCCAGCCTTGGCCCTGAACAAACTTCTTAATCTCCGAGAGCGACACAATGCCGTTGTTGTTCTGGTCAAGTTGAAGCCAGCAGCTCTGCAAACAATCAAAGCAACGGCAAGTCGGTGAACCCAAGGCCATGTGGGTCAGCCAGGCGAACAGGGCGCAGCCACAACGTCAAAGCAAGCAAAGTGCCGTTGACACAAGGCGGGTCTCAACCAATCAAGCAAAACGACATGCGGCAGAAGCGCGTACGTTCATGGTCTCCAGATCATTGCAGGCGTTTGCCATGGCTTGGAACTGGTCATGGCCATCAAAGAGCAAGTGGCGAACAAGCTCGGCATCTGCAATGCACGAGTGCGTACGTGCGGATGTGCATGCGAGTGAGTGTGCGTTGAGGGTTGAAGGAGCGCGAGGGAAGTTGAGGAGGAGTGGGGGTGCATGCCTGAGGCGAGAGTAGCAGCGTGCATATGCTTGTGCCATTCGCTGGAATTCTTGCATGATAGCGAACACAAACACACACACACAGAGGAAACAAACAGGTACACACACACACGTACCGACAGCGTCGTAGACCTTGCCGGGCTCAAGAACGGGGTCGTTCTTGTTGGGCTGCTCAGCTGCGGCGGGCTTGGCTTCTTCCTTCTTGGCAGCAGGGGCTGCGCTTGGCTTGGCGACCTCCTTTGGCTCTGCGGGGGCCTGCTTTGGCTTCTCAGAGGCAGCCGTCTTGGTTGCCGTGGCGTTGGACGTGGCGCAAACGTTACCCATGGTGACTGATCTGCGATGCAGATGTTGAGATATAGGAAGGAGAGAGGGAGGGAGGAAGGGGGGGGGGTGTCAACCGGCAATGGAGCAAGCCGACATGTGGTTGGTGAGCAAGCGAATGTATGATGACGCTGTGCGTGTGTGGTTGGAAACAATACGAGAGCGCGACTTCACGTCTCTCTTTGCCTTTGCCTTAGCTGTGTTTGTATTGCAGGAAGAGATCAAGCGTGCACACCGGCAGGAGAAGCCTCACCAAGGTCTCAAGTGAAGAGAGCGAGCTGTGCGTGTGATGCTTCAAGTGCAGGGCAAAGTAGCGGGGATGCGTGTGCGTATGGTTGACAACCAATCGAGTGTTGTTGATGAATGGCTAAGAAGCAACAAGCGCGCACTGCGACAAACAACAAGGTCGAGAAATGGTTGGTGGTGTTGCCAAGACACGTCATTTATTGATATCTTTCATGGACATTCGATACGATAATGTGTACACTGAATTCAGCTCATCGGCGCTCCAGCCGGCTGCTGCTGCTGTTGCTGGGACAGCTGCACCACCACCAAACACACACACACACACACACACACACACACACACACACACACACACACACACACACACACACACACACACACAAACGCATTGATGATGTGAGAGGCAGCACAGAGAATGAAGGAGCAATGGTGGTGTGATGTGAAGCAGCGCACAGCATAGTTTTTTTTTTTTTTGGGTTGGGCTTCCAGTCACATACACTCAAGAACAAGAGCAACAAACCAAACCAAAATAAAACAAGCACAGAGCAACTCACACATATACCTTGTGTAAAGAGACTTCCATGGTTTCCAGACACTGGTTGAGCTGCTCTTCCTTCATCTTGATCTGTGCGCGGTACTGCTCCTGCTGTTCGCGTCTCGCGCGACGACGCTGCCGCCTCTCTTCTTTCTTCGCCTGCACCAACGATGGAAGAAGTGAGTACGTGCGTGCGTGCGTGTGTGTGTGTATGTGTGTGTGTATGTGCATGTGTGGGTGAAGTGAGTGCGTGAGTAAGTATGTGAGTGGGTGAAGCGAGTGAGTGTGTATGCCAACAAGGTTGACATGAGTGGTTAGCATTGGTCGTTGCGAAGGTGCATCAGCAGTCTGCAAACAACACGAATGGCAGCTCCGGCATTGCTCCCTCATCCAACCCCCCCCAACCAAGCACGCGCCACAAAAGTCAAGCGCAAACTGTGCCCCAAACGTCGTCCAACCTGTGCCTGTGCTTTCAGCTGGGTGTACTTGTCGCGAAGCCGCTGCACCTCCAAGTCAAACTCCATCACCTGCCAATGGCACGTCTCCAGCAGCGCTTGCAGCCGGCGAACAATCCCTCCTCGCCCACTTCCTCGTCTCACATCCTTCCTGGTCCCTTTCATGTCCCCATCATCGCCATGCACACACGTGGCCTGCTGCTGCTGCTGCTGCTGCTGCTGATGCTGTCGCGTTCGCATACCTGCTGGGGAGCTGAGCAGCGGCTCAAGGGTGCGTACATCCTCATTCGCACCATCTGTGCCCCTGTCACGCGTCGTCTCTCTCCTTGTCGGTGTTGATGGCACATGCTGTACTTGCTTGCCAACGCCGTCTCCTCGCATTGCGGAGGACAGAATGGGCTGCATGGTATCACCACCACCACCTCCACCACCACCTCCACTGTTACTGCCACCACTGCCATCCCCACGACCACCACTGCCGATAGCAGAAGCGTGGCGCTGCTGCTGCTCTGCGGTGTCGCCCTTGTCACCACCGCCCTCGCCACCACCGCCACCACCACCACTGTGTTCGTTGGCTGCCGGGTGGAACGCGCCAAACGTTTCACTCCACTCGTCCACAATCCGCTCCAGCTCCGCAATCGAGACATTCCCGCTGTCTCCTTCGCGATCACCATCACGGTCACGATCACGGTCGCCAGGCCCGCCGTGGGCAGTGGTGCTGTTGCTGTTCGCGTCCTGCACAGCAGGAATGGTGGTCTGGGCATTCACAGTAGAAGAAGCAGCAGCTGCTGCTGCTGTTGGAGCACTCGTCACTGCAGCTGCACTGAAACCAGTGGCTGCCACATCGGCCAGGGTGTGCAGTGCCTCCTCCCACTGTTCGTATTCCAACACATCCGCGCCGGGACAAGCAATTCCTAGCTGTGCACACACGTGTGCAAGCGCTGCCACGAAGCACTGCAGCTGCAACACGAGCGTGGACGGGCGCTGCTGCTCAGCAACACTCTGACGATGGCGCTGTCTCGACCGCGAGTGCAACGCCCAATGCGACCCGTCACCAGCACCGTGGGCACGTGCACCGTTGCCATCATCACCACCACGGCCAACACCGCCATCTGCGCCATGCGCTGCGTCAGCTGCTGCCGAGCCACCAACAGAGGCGCTTAACTGAAGGCCGGGGATCGACACACGCGTGTCCCCGGTTTGCTCCGGGTCGCAACGACGGCGATGATGAGTGCCGGCAGTTGTTGTCGCCGTCACGTCACCGCTGGCCCGAGTGCCATCACCACCACTTCCTTGTCTGCCATTACGATCCGCAGCACCCTCACCCATCTCGCGGCCGTCGCTCCACCAGGACCGGTGCTGCGCGTGAATTGAGACCACTTCCCTCTCTGCACTGCGGTGATCGCGCTTCCTCCGCGTTCGCGTCACGTGCTGGCGACGCGGCGTGCTGCGTGTTGGCTGCGGCCACCCACCACCATCACCGCCTCTGCGGCTGTGGTGACCACCAAGTGTCCGCTCGAGCCAGTCATGGCTGGGCGTCTCGTCAGGATTAAACACAATCGCACTCTCGTCGCGGTCGTCGTGTGCATTGCGTTCGCCGAGAGAATCACCGGTGGCCTCTGACGCCTCCAAGTCGCTGCGGGTCAGCCCAAGCGCAGGCACGCTGTCATCGTCTTCGCCATGTGCAAGGGCATCGACACGTTTCTGTCGATGTTGCTGCTGCTGCTGCTGCTGTTGTTGTTGCTGGTGGCTACGATGACGTGTGCTGTGTCTGCGCTGGCGACGGTGCTGCTGCTCGCGCTTGCCACTACCGCTAGCAGTGCGGCCTGGAAGCTCCTTGGTGGTGGACATGGTTGCTGGTCTCGTGTTAATGGGAATGAAATCTGTACCCAGCAAATGGTCATTTTCACCACCACTGTCATACGAACGAGGATAGTGATCGTCAGCACTTGAGCGCTGCTGCTGCTGCTGTTGCTGTGGGTGGTGGTGTGACGACGATGACACCAAGGATGACACGTGCGAGTCGCCCATTGCTAGCCACCTGTCCACCGTTGCCGGTGCCGTTGTGCTCTCCTCCAAGCGCACCATCCGGTCCTGGAGCGTCTGCACTTGCGTGTGCATGCTTGCAAGCAACGTGCGGATGGACTGCTGCAACGATGCCTTCACCTTGGTCTTCTTGCGTTGGCGTGCTTGTTGTTGTTGTTGTTGTTGTTGTTGTTGTTGTTGTTGTTGTTGTTGTTGTTGTTGCTGCTGCTGCTGCTGCTGCAGACGTTGGTTTGTCTGGCCTGTGGGTTCTTCCCTGCCGCTCTCACCTGCATCATGCGCACGCCTTTTCGCTCCACCGCCACCGCCACTGCCACCGCCACCACTCGTTGCCGTTGTGGCGGTTGTTGCAGACATGTTGAGTCTCGCTGCCTTTGTGCTTGCATGCACGGTTTGCTGGTCGGCCTCGGCGCCAGACGCCACGCTCACGTTCTCTGCCAGCTGTGCCAGCTGCACAACCACGTGCGAGATAGTCGCAAAGTGCTGCATGAGTGTTCCTCGTGGCGTGCCTGGTCGCTTCTGGCTCAAACGACGACGACGACCACGACTACGGCAATGACGATGGCTGTCTCCTGAAGCATCGCCGCGCCGTTCAGCGCTGGGATGACTGCCCCTGCTCTGGTTGTTGTCATGGCTGCCCTTGTCTTCTGCCTCGCCCTCGCTCGTCGGCGTTGCCGGGCACAGGACTCGCCCCCGCGTGCCTGCAGGCATGGCGTTGTCATCAATGCCATCGCGGCGATGTGTGCCATCCCGACCACGGCCGTGAAGGGGACCGAGAGCACTGCCGCTGCCGCTGCTGCGCGTGAGCGTAAAGTCAAACGCTGGCACTTGCTCTTGCTCCTGTCTGTCTTCCTCCCAGCGCGGTGTGGACATGGATGGCAGGAAGGTGTCGTGCGACGCCCCCTTGCACAGCCACGCCTGCAGTTGCAGCACCCCTTCTCGTAAGCGGGCGAGGTGGTGGCTGTAGTGTTCTGCCTTCTCCACCGCAGCTGCACGCTGCCGCTCGCTCTCTTCCAACGCGCCCTTTGTCACCGCCAGCAAGTGCTCCAGCTTGGCTGTTGTTCGATCGTGCTTGCTTGCGTTTGTAGAATGCTGCTGCTGCTGCTGCTGCTGCTGCTGCTGCTGCTGCTGCTGCTGCTGCTGTTGTTGTTGTTGTTGTTGTTGTTGTTGTTGTTGTTGTTGTTGTTGTTGTTGTTGTTGTTGTTGAGTTGGCAAAGGCCGGTTATGCATGGTCTTGTTCGCAGCAGCAGCTGTTGCTGTTGCTTCTGCAGGGTGGGGTGGCAGCGGCGTTGTACCCACCTGCTTCTCCTGTGGCCGTGTGAATGCGTGTTCGAGTTGCCGCTGCAAAGCAACGACATCTGCTAGCGCAGCAACACACTGGGTGAGCGGTGCAACGAGACGCGTTGCGGCACTGGAGGGGAGAGGCAGCGATGCAGGCTTACCAGTGGCACCACCACCACCACCACCACCACTGTTGGTGTCGCTGCTATGAGTAGTGGCGTTGTTGTCATTGTTGACAGCTTCGGTGGCCGATTGCAGTGCCACTGCAACCGCAATGGCTTGCCGGACCAGAAGCGAAGCACGACTGAGCTTCTCCTGGACACCATGTTGCTGTTGTTGTTGTTGCTGTTGTTGTTGTTGTTGTTGTTGTTGTTGTTGTTGTTGTTGTTGTTGTTGTTGTTGTTGTTGTTGTTGTTGCTGCTGCTGCTGCTGCTGTTGCTGAGCGCGGTCGTGTACGGTTGCTGTTTCCGACAGCTGCTCCTGCACGCAGCGAAGGCTGTGCACAACACTCTCTGCGTCACACGGTTGCAGCTCTTGCAGCGATGTCACGGGCAGACGAAGTGCTGGCGGCGAGTGCATGTCGGAGTGTGACTGCGATTGGGCCGAGAGCACGTGGTGTCGTGTGTTCGCTGGCCGCTGACTTGTGTGCGTGTGGTCGTGTGTGGCGGCAGTGTCACGTGAATGCGCGCGCACACCATCACCACCATCACCACCATCACTACCGCCATCGTCATCGTCATGAGCATCGGTCATCCCGACATCACGATCACCACCACCAGCGACAGGATGGCGCTGACCGCTGGTTGAAAGCGCCGTGCGAAGCTGTCGAACCTCCTCCTCAAGGTCAGCAACGTGCTGCAGCTGGGCATGTTCGCGCTGCTGCGCCTCCTGTAGCTGTGCCACCAACCCTTCAATCTCTGCAATTGCGCGGTCCATGCTGGTCTGGTAGGATGTCTTGGTTGTCTGGCGCCACTGCTCCTCGCGTGCATCATACTCTGTCCGCAGCTGCTGTATCGCTTCCTGCACTGCAAGTGCGGCCCGCTGTTCCGCCTCTTCGTTGGCGCGCGCGTGTGCATCCGCCTGGGCGCGTTCGACCTGCAGTGCCGCCTGCGCCTCGAACTGCTGCCGCCACTCCATCATCTCCCTCTCCCTCTGCGCCTGCTCCTGGCGTGCAGTTGCCACTAGTTCCCTCTGCTTTGCGTCCAATCGCTCGTGCATGTCTGCCTCCAGCCTCTGCCGCACCTCTGCTTCCAGCGCCGTTGTGTGCACGTCACTGCTTTCACGCAGTTGCTCAAGCTCGCGTGCGTGCGCGCGCTGCAGTTTCGCCACCTCGGCCGCGTGCATTTCTTGCTGTCGCGCGCGCTCGTCGGCCACGGCCTTGTCCAGCTGCTGCTTGTGCTCCGTCTTGACCATCTCCATGCGCGCCTCAAACCCACGCGCAAGCTGCTGTCTGCGTCCCTCAATCTCTTCCTGCGCCCGTGCGCTCTCTTCCTCGCACACGCGCTGGCGCTGCGCGTCCATCTCCTCTGCCAGCCTTCGCCGCTCCGCATCCACCCTCTCCTGCACACGCAGCGTCACCTGCGCCTGCGTGGCCGCCGTCAGCGTTGCCTGCAGCTTTTCGCGCTGCGCCTGTGCCTCCTGTTGCATCTGACGCCGCTCCCGCTCAAGTGCTGCGCTCATCTCGCGCTGCATGTACTCGCGCGTGCGCTGCTCCGTCTCCCTCCTCGCCTCCTCCACAGCGGCGGTCGTGCCCTCCTGCACATGCCGCTGCCATCGCTCCCGTTCCCGCCGCACCGCTGCGTCCACGGTCTCGCGGACACGTGTGCCCTGCACCGCATCCAGCTCCCGTCGCGTGTCCTCCAATTCGCGTTGCACTGCCGTCAGCGTTGCACGCTCTGCTTGCAGTTGCTGGTCGTATTTGCGCTTAAGTTCGCCCCGTGTTGTCTGCACACGCGCAGACACCAGGCGCTCCACCTCCGCTGCCGTCTCCTCTTCTTGCTGCTGTGCGGCAAGGCGGTGTTGTTGCTCAAGTGCACGCTTGTGCTGCGCAAGCTGCTGCTGCATCTCCTGCTGCGCGTGTGTGCGGGCAGCTGCCACCTTCTCCTCCATCTCTTGTGTCAGCTGTGCCCGCAACTGCTCTTGTCTGTGCTGCGTTTCCTGCACCGCCCTCTCCTCCACGTTGCGCACACGTGCCTGCAGGCTCTCGTGCATGTCACGCTCAAGCCGCTGCTGCAACGCCTCCTGCTCCTTCCTCGCTTGGTCCTCAAACTCGCGTGTGAGTGTCTGTCGCAGCTCTGCCATATCCCTTCGCTTGCTCTCTTCCATCTTCTCCTGTTCTTGTCGCACGCGTTCGCTGACAGCTGCATCCACCCGCGCCTTGACATCTCCCTCCAGTGCTGTGCGCAGCCGCACCACCTCCGCCTCCCGCGCTGCTAATGCCTCTGCCACGCGTGCTTCCACCACCTGCTGCGTTGTCGATGCGCTCGCATCCAACAGCGCCTGCAGCCGGTCTCGCTGGCAGATTGTACGTGTGTGTGTGTGTGGGGGGGGGGCGATGGTGAGGGGAGCGGTATGAAAAAGCAAGTGTGAGCGCGTGCAGAGTGCAAAGTGCAGAGTGCAAAGTGCATTCATGTACACCCAAAGATGCACGCGTGTGTTCGTGTACACTAATACGCACTTGTTCACATGAACTACAGGTGTCTTACACGCACGCACACACACATGCACGCACGCACACACACACACACGCACGCACGCACGCACGCAGACGACGTTGCTCACCTCTGCGACGATGCGCTCCCATGCGTGTGTACAGCGGGCGACAATGCCGGTGTAGTCGTGGGCGTGCTGATGAAGATGGTGCTTGAATGCATCGAGTTGCTGCAGCGTTGCTTGTCGCAGCTCAGCGACCATCGCCTTTGCTTCGCCAATCGTTGACAATGCGTGCGTGTGCAGTGGCTGCTGTCTTGTCTGCAGCTGCTGTTCGCACTCGCTCTTGATCTGAACGAAGCGCTGCTCCCACTGCTGCTGATACTCTCGGTGCGTGTCCGCCTGAACGTGTGTGTGTGTGTGTGTGTGTGTGTGTGTGCGTGGTAGGTGAGTTGCTGTGAGAGCTCTTGGCCATTGGACGAGCAGCAACGTGTCATTTGCACTGGCGTGACACATATTAGTGCATGCTTCAAGGCACAAGCTGCTGCGATTGTTGGGGCGACCACACCACTGACCAGAACCTCCTGTGCAATTTGGAGGGACTTGTGCTCCAGACTCGTCAGCTTTTCCTGAAGAATCTTCTCGTGGTCGCTCTGCACGCGTGTTGGTTGATCATTGTCCGGGTTAGATGTAGGGGAAAGATGGGGCAGGGGGGACGACGGGTTGGTTCGAGGTACACCCGTGAACGGGGTGTGATATGCAGAGCAAAGTTCATCTGTATGTGTGTGTGTGTGTGTGTGTGTGTGTGTGTGTGTGTGTGTGTGTGTGTGTGTGTGTGTGTGTGTGTGTGTGTGATGAGTCGCACCACGGGTATAGAGGGGGCGGCATTGTGCTCGCGAACAGTTGTTTCCAGCTTCTGACACCGATCTCGGTACTCCTGTATGGTGTGTGCGTGTATATATATATGGGTGTGTGTAGTGATGTGCGCGTTTGCATGTGAGTGTGTGTTTTGATCGCAGGCAAAAACGGATGGTGACATGGAGGTGTGGTGTTTACAATAGCAGCGGCATAAGCACACATACATGTGTGTACGGACCTTGAGCTTCATCTGGAGCTGGCGAATGGTTTTGTTCTGTTGGCGCTGAGTGTCGCTCAGGTGCAGGATTTGTTTCCTTTGTGACGTAAACGATTGAGAGAGAGAGAGAGTGTGTGTGTGTGTGTGTGCGCGCGCGCGCGTGTGTGTGTATGTGAGTGGGAGCCCCAGTGAGCGTGTCTCACACAGACACAAAGGTAGAGGAGACAAGTGAGCGTTAACGTTGGGTGTATGGTGATTTGCACAGCAACCTCTCACATGCATGTGACAGCATGCATGGAAAGCTGCATATGTGACGTACTCGTATTGTGTCTGGGCGTGCTTGAGCTGGTACTCAAGCTGAACGGCGTGTGAGTTGACAACATGCACGCTGGAATCAGAGCTGTGTATGTGTATGTGTATTTGTGCGCATGCGTGCGTGTACATGTGCGCGCGAGCGTTTGCATGAGTGAGGATGGGACAGGAGCTGTTTGGATTGAATGTGGTCAAACAAGAAGATGGCAGTCAAGCAAACACAACAAACAAGCCCTTCGAGGTGCATCGGCACACACCCACACCCACACCCACACCCACACCCACACCCACACCCACACCCACACCCACACCCACACCCACACACACACACACACAAGCGCTTTCGTGCGACACGTACAGCTTGGGACTTTGTTGGAGCTGCTGTTGTTGCTGTTGCTGCATCTTCTCGGTCAAAAGCCTGTCGCAGTGCGCATGATGGAGGTGAGGTGGAAAGCGAAAGTGGGTCCACTGTAGCAGAGCATGAATCAACAAGATACAGGCACATGCGTGCGCTCAAACACACGCATATGCGCACCGTTGCAGCTGTGTAGAGAGGCGGGTAACTTCGTCGTGCAAGTGCTGGTTCTCTTCCTGCAAGACACCGCCATTCGCAGTCATAGCTGCTCGCGGTGGCGTGTATGGAGGCGTTGCATTTTTCGGCAGGCCCTGCTGCGAGGCACGCAGGCGATCTGGTTTGACAGCAGAACACTCGACCGTGAGGCAGGAAAGGCTGTGATAGCAGAGCAGGGAAACGGAGCTGGGAGAATGCTGCAGCATCAGGCATTGGAGAGGTGACATGGGAAGCAACGTAACGATGTATGCCGGGCATTTCCCTGGCCAGCTGACCTGAGACGATGGCGTCAGTGATGCGTGCGGACTGCGTTGAGAACTGCTCCTCACGTGCCTTGCGCAGTGACGTGGCATGGTCAACGGCGATCCTCTGCCGCTCCGCATCAAACAAGTGCGAGATGCTCTCCTGAATGTGTCGGCTGAGGGGAAGGGGGAGAGTAAGCGCAGGGGAGGAGTTACAGGGGAGGGTGGCAGGGGAGAGGGTCGGGTATGACAAGGTAGAGGGGGAGGGGACGATGGAAAGCAGAGGCGGAAGGTGAGCACAACAAGGGACAAAAAAGGGAGAGAAGGTCAGGATGAGGTGGTGGAGCGGACACAGCACACAAAGTACTCACAGACACAGACACTGACACACGGACACACCTTGTTTGGATTGCATGGGACGATGCCAACGACTCGTCCATGTCTGCCTGCCGTGCTCCTTGAGCTGCGTTGATGGTGACTGCGGTGGCACTGCTGGCACTGATGGCGAGTTGCAGCAGAATGCTGCTTTGCTTCTTGCTTGTTGGTGTTGGTGTTGGTTTGACGTGTCGTTCAGTGCGCAGCCGAAAAACAAAAAGAAACGGTCATAGGAAAAAAAGACTCTGCCACGGCCCGGAATCGAACCGGGAGTAACGCGACCACAACGCGTAGTGTTACCATTACACCACCGCGGCCATGCGAGTTGTTGACGAGTTGGAAGATTTTACTTTGTTATAGTATATGCATGACATTGGACCACAACACTTGCTGTGAATGTATGAAATCTTCAGCAAATTTTCGTCAATTCGAAATTTTCAACGCCGCCACTTTTGGATTTTGTTGTCGTCGTGCCAACACCACCTCGAGCCACCCGGCACCTGTATCTCCCACTGTACCTGTTGTGCACACTCAAAGACTCAATCAAGATGAACGGCCACGGAAACGCCAAGGAGAAGGACACCGTCAAGGTAGTGAACACGCAGTGTGGCTGCTGTGGAACGTTGGCGTTGTTGTCGGTGGTGTTGTTGGTGTTGTTGGTGTTGTTGTGGTGGTGTTGTTGGTGGTGGTGTTGTTGGTGGTGGGTGTTTCTGATCTTTGTTTCGTGATGGTCAAGCTGCGATTGCTCTTGGATGGTGTGACCGAGTGTTACTGACGCGAATCATCAACACAAAATGCAAACGCCTCTGCTGCAACAACCTCTCAGGTGTACCTGCGCGTTCGTCCCTTGACGGCAAAGGAAAAGACGGCTGGTCCAGAGTGCATCAGCCTCCAATCCACAAAGCAGATTCATTACCGCAACCCAAAGAACATCAAGAAGGTGCTCGAGTACGAGTTTGACCATGTGTTTGGTCCAAAGGCAGATCAGATTGAGGTACGACATCTGAGTTGGTGTGTTTGCGTGTGTGTTTGCGTGTGTGTTTGTGTGTGTGTGTATATGTGTGTTTGCGTGTGTATGTGTGTTTGCGTGTTTTGCGTGTGTGTGTGTGTTCGTGCGCGCGTGTGTGTGTATGGGGGTGTGTGTATATGTGTTTGTCTGCTTTGGACTTGCAAGTGCTATATACACGCGTGTGCGCCATGTTCATGTCCAACATGTGCATGTCCAACATGTATGTTTGCCATCCTTTCCTCATTTCATCGAACCTTGACCCCAAATATCCCGCTCTTCCCATTCTCCAATGCAGCTCTTCCAAAAGACAGCATTTCCACTGGTGACTGATGTGCTTCGCGGTCAGGACGCCCTCCTCTTCACATATGGCATCACAAACTCGGGCAAAACCTACACCATGCAGGTGTGTGTCCTTGTTTGTGTGTGCGTGTGTGCGTAGGTACATGTGTGCGTTTGTGTAAGTGTGTTGTGTTGCCGTGAGTATATTCGTATACACACATCCGTATGTACATTGTTATATGTCTTGTGGGCGCAGTGATTGCAGTGGGACTAGGAGGAAGTCTGTCTCCAGCGTCTCACACCCTTGTTCACAATTCCTTTTCCCTTCCACACATCAATACCGTTTGTCTCTCCAGGGAAGCGAGGAGGACCTGGACGGCATCATGCCCCGCACACTTGATGTCTTGTTCAACAGCATCAATAACCAGCGCGCCAAGTGGTTCACCTTCAAACCAGACGAGTCAAAGGGCACCATCGTCGTGCGGGTATGCGTATTGTGTGTCTGTCTGTGTGCGTATATGTGATTGTCTGTTTGTCTGTGTGTGCGAGTGTGTGCCTGTGCCTGTGTGTATATGTATGTACCTGTGTGTGTATGTGTTGGCATTTGTTTGTTCATCTACGTACAGTTTTTTTTTTTCATATGTGTGTTCGCTCACCTTGAAAGATGACTTGCATCTAACAAACTTTCCCGAACCCTCTTGACACCGCTTGTGTTGCTCGTTTGGCAGGATGCCAACGAAGCCAAGGACCTTCGTCGGAAGCACCGCCACGACCATCCCGAGGGTGAGGACATGAACTCGTACTCATTGCTGTGTCATTAATCGTCAATTTGTACTTCGTTCGTGCATGTCGGCGATCGCACAATGCCAGCCCACATCACTGCATTCACACTTGAGCACATTCTCACTCACATTTGCACAAACACGCACACTCGAACCACACACACACACACACACATACACACACACTCTCTCTCTTCTCTCTCTCTCTCTCGTACCCACACACACCCACACACGCACACACACTCGTAAACCCCCCCCCAACACACATACACACACACGCTCACACATTGCAGACCGCGATGCCATGGATGTCGACACGTCTGTGCCGATTCAAACGCGCCGCCGGTCCTATGATCCAAGCTCGGTACAGACACATACTCATGCACACACACACACATACGCATGCACAAGTTGGATGGATAGAGGGCTCGATACAAGCAAGCCAGCCGCGTTGCATATCACATCACGTTCGCATCACGAGTGGTCGTCCACGCATTTGCTTCCACACACGCTCGTTTTGTCACATTAACCCTCACGTCTCACGTCCTTCCTTCCACTTCCTCCACACAACAGCTTGCGCTGGCCGATCCAGACACGCGCTTCTCCATCTTCATCTCGTATGTGGAGATTTACCGCAACTACGTCTACGACCTCTTTGACGACCGCCCCATGTACACGCCAGACGGTACGTGCTGCGAGACCTGTGTTGCTTGCTCGGTTGTTCGTGGGAGCGTGTGCGCATGTGAAGCGTGTCTGGACATGTGGAGCACAGGCACACGAGGGTTGTGCGAGTGTTATTGTGTGTGCGTACACGCATGCACCTGTGGTGCAAATTACCCTGTGTCTTGCACCTACTCGTTTTCAAACAGGATATGCTCCCCCTCATATTCTCGTTGCCCTGCAATGCCTCTGACAGCATTCAACCCAAAGAGCCGAGGAAAGCCGCTCAAGACGAGCCTTGGAGTGAAGCTCGGGCGCGACGGACAGTACTATGTGCAGGGTGCAACGTGGAAGGAGGTGCACAGCACGGATGAGGCGTTTCGCCTGCTGGAAGAAGGCAAGGCCGTGAGGAAAGTCGGCTCCACCAACCTCAACAGCCAGTCCAGCCGCAGCCACAGCATCTTTACCATCAAGGTGCGCAGACAATTGCCGACAAATGGCAAAGACTATGTGGGTGCTGTTGTGGAACACTTAACGTTCACGAAAACGCACCAGCAGCATCGTTGCAGTTGCGTTTGTTGATTAGCTCCCGTTGCTCGAGAAGCCATTCGTCATCACGACTAACACCACTCTGTACACATTGCACAGGTTGTTTCTGCACCGCTGAACCGCAATGGCTCCGATGTTGTTCGCGACGACGACATTCCACCCCACGTCGCCCAGGTCAGCACCGCACACAAGCTCATGGTCGTGATGGCATGACATGCGAAAAGTATCATATCAAGGGGCGAAATGCAGTCAAACGCAGATGCCTACCTAGCATACACGCATATGTGTGCACACGCGCGCACACACGCACGCATATGCACACACACACGCACGACAATGAATGTGATTTGCACACAAACACACATGCAAATGTGCACTTCCACAATACTGTACACATTTCCATTCACGCGCTCACACTTTTCCACAAACACCACCACGCCAACACAACAGATCTGCCTTGTTGACTTGGCTGGCTCCGAGCGCTGCATGCGAAGCGGCAGCAAAGGAAACCAACAGAAGGAAGGCATTGACATCAACAAGTCCCTCAATAAGCTGCGGGAATGCTTTCAGGTGTGCCTTCCAGGAGAGGGCGGGGCGGGTGTGTCTGTATTGGTCAGATCACTTATCCAAACCAATGTGCACTATCACTGTTGTTGTTCCCTCATCAAAACGTGAACACACACACGTTAACACACGTGAACACACACAACACACACACACATGCACACACCAGGCACTACGGGACATGCAGCAGAAAGGAAAGAAGAAACGCATCCAGTACCGCGAATTCAGCCTCACCCACCTCTTCCAAAAGTACCTGATGGGCCACGGCAAGGTGGGACATGACGTGGTTAAAATAATGGCACCAATAGCGAAAACCGTGCTTGGTGACGACAAGTGTTCCTTACATGGTGCGTTGCTGCACGCAATGTCTTCACCAGTCTCACGCTTGTTTCCTCACACATGCACGCGCACACGCGCACGCAAATTCTGCGCAGATGAGCATGATTGTCTGCGCATCTCCATCCTCCCCTGATGCAGCGGAGACAGCAAGTGTTCTCGACTTTGCCAAACTCACCGGCGAGATTGAGACAAATGTCTCCGAGGAAGCACCAATCTACAAAGGTGCGCACAAAGTCGTGCAAGTGTGTGTGTGTAAGAGAGAGTGTGTGTGGGTGTGCGTGTGCATGTGTGCTTGTAAAAGAGAGGGAAAGAGAGAGAGTGTGTGTGTGTCGTGTCTGTGTCTGCATGAGTGTGTGCATGTGTGCTTGTTTGTTTATGCACGCGTGAGGCTGAAGCTGTTTGAGGGTCAACACTCTTGCTATCAGGTCGCTGTGCATGTTTTCACTGCACACCATGTACCTTGTCGTCCCACGTGCATCACCACTCATCCCGTGTTCGCTCCCTACAGGATACGAGGAAGGTCGCGGCATGCAGTGCCGCCTTCAGCGCCGCGCAAGACGCAAAGCAGGTGGCGGAGAGACATCATTGTCGGACATTGAAGAAAACGATGGCGCAGAGGCAAATCAGGAACCGTAAGTCTTGGAAGTGTCCTTTCAGTGTGATGTTTTGCAGTGCCGCTCTCTCACACACACACACACACACACACACACACACACACACACACACTCTCTCTCTCTCTCTCTCTCTCTCTCTCTTTCTTGTGTCTTTGGTTCACCTGTCAATGTCGCAGGCGTGTTTCTTCCATTCAACCTCGTCCATGCATTCCTTGATTCAGCATCCTTTGCCTCTGTCGACCCTCCTCCCAAGTTTTTGTTTTATGTTTCTTCCGCTTGTTCTTGCACAGTTTCACACAATTATGCACATCTTGCTCACAACCACGAACACGGACGGCTATGTTCAGGGGCGCGTACTCTGCCGTTCAGAAGGAGCTGGAGGAGATGGCCAAAGATCAGTCGCCTTCCAGCGCATATCGCTCCGGTGCCACGGTCGGCAAGCGTTCCAAGCACCTCGAATCACCGCACCTTGCTCGTGCCATTGGCGACATTGACCAGGTTTGCTTGGATGATTTGAGTGGATGGGTAAAGGAGTGTACGCATTTGGATTCACGGACAATATGTGCGGAAGCGTTTGCCGTTTCCTTCCGTCGTTCGTTGGGCAAACTGCAATGTGTACCGTGACCAGCCAGACACATGTGACTCACAGCTGAGTGCCTCTGCTTTGTTTCTCTGCTTCAACCATCAGCACATGCACAAGAGCCTTGCCCAGAAGCGCCAACAGATGGAGGACGCACAGCAGCAGTTCCGCACTCACCTTCGCGAAAAAGTACGAACCAAACGTATTGCTCTTGCTGCATGCCATTGCAAGGACGGACATGTATGCTCATTACATGCACACGCGCGCGCACGTTGTATTGCTCACGCAACGTGCACACACAACGCACATGCACACGCACACGCACACACCCACTTGCGCAGGAGAACACGTTGATGCAGCAGACAATTCGCATCTCGGAGCTGACGGAACAGTTGACGGAGGAGAAGTTGCGCTGTGACTCTCTCGAGAAGAAGGTCGCATAACACTTACTCTTTGCGACCTCTGTGCTCCCTTATAATACTTGTCGTGTCAAACACAACATGTTATGTCACTTGCTGCGCAGCACAACTCTAACAAGTGCATGCTCTGTGCTTGCCACTGTTGAACAGACGGAGGAGTTGATCCGTGAAACAGCAGCAACGCGCACAGAGCTCGAATCACACGTAAGCACGTAGTCCATTGGCATGACTTCTCCCTAAACAAAAACACAAACACACACATGCGTTCACGTTATTGTGTGTGTGCGTGTTTGTGTTTTTGTGTTTGTGCTTGTGTGTGTGTATTTGTGTGTTTGTGTTTTTGTTGTTGTATGTGTGTTTGTGTTTGTGTTTGTGTGTGTTTCTGTTGGTGTTTGTTGTTTACTGACCGTTTCATGCGGTGTGCTGTGCAATTCACAGATTTCGGAGCAAAAGGAAGATATTGAGCGACTGACGGCCGATTTGTCCACGACGCGTCGTCGCAATGAATCCCTCGAGGTACATCAACACCATTCTCCTGCATGTGACACATGTCCTTTGGTTGTATGTCCATCATCCCATCGTTTGTTTCCGCTCTAACAGACTCCCATACATGCACCCACACTCACTCATGCACGCACGCGCACACAAACACACGTACGTACACCCACTCACACCCTCACTCACGCACGTACACAAACCCACAACACAACAGCGCGAGAAGGCAGAGCTCGAGTCTCAGCTGCACGCGATGCGGCGTGAGCTGTCCAAGTACGAGGGCGAGTTGCGGGAGAAGGACCAGCGCACACACATGCTCACGCGCGAGTACCAGGAGAAGAGCACGGAGCACAAGGCACGGCTGGACAGGATGGCGGAGGCCGTCAAGTCCCGTGAGGAGAAGGTGCTGATGCTCAAGGAGCGCATGGAACGCGCGCGCGATCGCATTGAAAAGCGCGCGAAAAACACACCCAATCGTCCGCTCTCCATGCGCAGCGCCCCATCGCCGCCCAAGCAGCCGAATCTGGCGGATGTTGTGGACGAGAACGTGTCGCCAGCGAAGAGGGCGAAGTCGCCCGTGCACGGCCGCCACCACCGCGTTGCCGACGCATATGAGCAGAAGCGCAAGAGCATCGCGCCCGCCAACAACAGTGATGATGATGATGATGAAGAAGACGACCAGGACTACAGTCGCGGCAGCCGCCAAGTCCTGGACGCATACGCTGACGACCAAGAGAACGTTGCTTCGAACAACATTGCGTGAGTCGCTGTTCAAGCCAGCCAAGCACACAAAGAAAGCGGGGCATAGCAAACATGCTGCGAAAATGCTCAGAGTGCTGGCCCCATGCGAGGGCGCCTTTGTGCAAGTTTGTTCTCTGTTCTCTTCTTCTTTCTGTTCTTCTACTTCTCGTTCTTCTTGTTTTCCTCACTCCTCCCCAATTCCCTCTCTCCTTTTTATTTTTTCTTCGTGTCTTTGTGGTGCCTTCACTTCCATCAGCTCACCGCTGCATGCTCGCCTTGAATTGTAAATTAGGATGACGACGGATGATCCAAGCAAGCCCGCGTACAACAAGGTATACAACCATGTTCCACAGAACCACAAGACAGCCAAGGGCACAATCCTGCAGAATCACAACAAGCACGGCAGTGTCGCCAGGCCAGAGGTGAGTTTCTGTGTATGCGCGCGCGCGTGTGTGTGTGCTTGAATGTGTGTGTGTGTGTGTGTGTGTGTGTGTGTATGTGTGTGTGTGTGTGTGCGCGCGCGCTTGAATGTGTGTGTGTGTGTTTGTGTGTGGTGTGTTTGTGTGCATGCGCGTGTGTTGGGGCGTGTGCACATATGTGACAATGAATGAGAGTGTCTGTGCGTCCCCTTCGCTTGGTAACATGTTGTGCCCGTGATCTTGCAGCTCAAGGGCTTGAAACGGCACGATTACTATGTCCTCAACCACGCTGATTCCCCAAACAAGCAATCTGTGTTCAAGGTGCGGTGGGACCAGCACTCTGATGCTCAGCTGGGACACGCACTCACATACACTTCTTGCACAGACACATGCACACACACGCACGCTCACACTCACACACACACACACGCACGCTCACACTCACACTCACACACTCACACGCACACTCGCACGCACACTCACACGCACACTCACACGCACACTCACACGCACACTCACACGCACACACACCCACACGCGCATTTGTGCCCAGGGCCCCATTATGAAGAGCATCTCGAAGGAGGGCTACTCTGTGCGGCTCACGGGCGAGGAGCTGTTGCGCTTGAACAACTTGGCCGAGGAAGCAAATGACGGGGTGTCACCAGCAAAGCATTTCAAATCTGCCGGACAATTTGCAGAGAAGGCTGTCCTCAGCCCAATGAAGAGTAAGTGTGTGTGTGTGTGTGTGTGTGTGTGTGTGTGTGTGTGTGTGTGTGTGTGTGTATGTGTGTTTGAAGGTGCAGAGCAACAGCTCTCATCCATGCGATGCACATGCGCACTCGCAAACTCGCCTTCCTGAGCTCGCTGCTGTGCTCCAAACTCACCACAGCTCATGCATACACACACA